CCACCCCCCCCCCTCCCAAACCTGGGTCCCCTTACCCTTCCACGCCCCCCCCTCCCCCCGCCCGACACCCCCCACTCCCACCCCGCCCCCCACCCCCTCCCACTCCCCTGTCCTCCGCCTGTGGGCCTCCAATCTTTAGTGTTTTAGGGGTTCCAATGCATCCTCCGCCTGTGGGCCTCCAATCTTTAGTGTTTTAGGGGTTCCAATGCACCCGCCCTCCCCTCCCCCCAACCCACACCTTCCTTTCCCTTCCCATGGCCCCATGCCCTTCGACACCCCACCACCTACCCCTTCGCTCCCCCTCCCAACACCTCGTCCCCTTACCCTTCCACGCCCCCCCCTCCCCCCAACCCATGGCCCCCCCCACATCCCCTGTTCCACTACCCCCCCTCTCCCCCCCCCTTAACCCCCCTCCCTCTCGACCCACCCCCGACATTCCTTCACTCCACCCGCACCCACCCACCCCACCCCCCACTCCCACCCCGCCCCCCACCCCCTCCCACTCCCCTGTCCTCCGCCTGTGGGCCCTCGAATCTCCCCCCAACCCACACCTTCCTTTCCCTTCCCATGGCCCCATGCCCTTCGACACCCCACCACCTACCCCTTCGCTCCCCCTCCCAACACCTCGTCCCCTTACCCTTCCACGCCCCCCCCTCCCCCCAACCCATGGCCCCATGCCCTTGAAATAAGCTGAGTTTTAAGGGTTTCAGTGCATGCCCGCGCCCCTCCCGCCCGCTCCGCCCCCCCACCCCCAGCCCGCCCCACACCCCCCTTTCCCTTCCATGGCCCCATGCCCTTCCACCCCCCCCTCCCACCCCCCACCCCCTCCCCCTCCCAAACCTCGTCCCCTTACCCTTCCACGCCCCCTCCCCCTCCCCCAACCCAGGTCCCGCCTCCGCCTCTCTCCACCCCCCACTGCCCTCCCCCACCCCCTGTCCACTACCCTCTACCCCCCCCTCCAACCACCGACCTCTCCGCCCTCCCCTCTAAAACCCCCCTCCCTCTCTACCCCCCCCTCTACCCCCCCCTCCCCCCTCTCTACCCCCCCCTCTACCCCCCCCTCCCCGCCCCCACCTCCCCCCCACTCCCCTGTCCTCCGCCTGTAGGCCTAGCCCCACCCCCTACGCCGCTCCTGATCAATCTCTAGTGTTTTAGGGGTTCCAATGCACGCCCGCCCTGACCGCTCTCCCCGCTCTCACCGCTCTCATCGCTCCGCTTCCCTCTGTGCCCGAGTCACTCCCTAATCCAACACCAACCCTCACTCCCCCCTCCACAGTCACCCCCCCCCCACCCCACCCCCACCCCCGACATTCCTTCACTCCATCCGCACCCACCCACCCCACCCCCCACTCCCAACCCGCCCCCCACCCCCTCCCACTCCCCTGTCCTCCGCCTGTGGGCCTCCAATCTTGCCTAGCCATCAAATTTTGAAGGGGGTAGTCCACGTGCTGCCCCGAACCCCATTTAAAAAAAAATGCACCCCGACAATAATGTCAAGGTTTTCGGGCGAGGGCAGGGGAGGGGGGGGGTAGGCCTTCAAGCTTCTGAAGCTTACCTGAGCTTACCTGAGCTGCGCTCATCTGAGCTTACCTGAGCTTAGTTATGTAAGAGGAGAGGGAAAGGAAGAGGAGAGGAAGAGGAGAGGGAAGAGGAGCGAAGAGGAAATGACGAGGAGCCGGTGGGGGGGGGGGGGGGGGGGGCCGGAACCGAAAATTAGTTTAGGGGGTCCCTTTTTTTGACACTACTACGGGGGTGGATTTAGTTTGGGGGGGGGGGAGGGGGGCCCCGCACTAATCAGGAGACCACATTATAGGGTTTCGGGTTTAGGGTTTAGGGTTGGGATTTGGTGCTTGGGGGGCTTGAGGGGTTTGGGGTTTGGGGTTTGGGGTTTGGGGTTTCGGGCCATTCTTACTGCCTCCAAGACTCTCGTGCCCAGTGAAGTGGCTCCGCGGAACTCTGGCGGTTTTGGGGTCGGCGGCACTGGCGGTAGCCATTATAAAGAATCATGATGACTGTTGCAGGCCAAACTGAACCGATATTTACTTGGTTTTTTGACATATATCTTGTTATGTACCTATTTATCTATGTATGTTTATTTAGTTCGGTAATCATGATCTTGCTGCCAAAGGGTTCAGGGTTTGGAGTTTAAGGGTTAGGGAACCCTCAATGATACTCCCCAAGTCAACGGCAACTGTTCACAGTTTAGTCCAGAAAGATACCAACGCTATGCAATTCCCACAATCTTAGTTGTCCAGTAACCTGGGGGGGAATTAAAGGTTGGGATTTTATAGGGAATAGAATACCCAAAAGAAGGTTAAACGGTTGAGGGAAGCTCCCGTGCTACTCGTCTCCAGCCAAAATTCAACACGTGACCAGAGATCCCGCTCACGCTCTCAACTGCTCTTGAAGTCAGCAAATTGAGACGCGGACTTAGCGCTGGAGCACAGGACCCGATAGCTGACAGCAATATTCCCGCCTCCGGACTTTTGGGAAGCATGAGCCCCATGCTCGGGCCCAGGCTCAACCTCGACGTCGCTGTTTCTCACCTCCTTGTTTGCAAGCTTGCCTTCACGTAAGAACAAGCAAAGCTTGATAGTTTTTGAGTCTGTGCTTGACGGTGTCCTTTTGTTTGAAAAAGGTGGTCTGCAGTTACAATATGAAATCGCGTATGTCTCGAAGAGGTAGTTAGCAGTACACATATCACTTATGGTGCACTACCTGCGCATCTCCTTGTTTAAGGTCAACATTCCTGTGTGTTTGGAAGAGTGAATGAAACCCATTCCACTCATAAGACCCAAAATACAACAGGAGCAATGAAATGAGCCAGACGCATGAACGGAACAATCATAAAAACAAGAGAGAAAAAATATGTCCCAATTTATGAGGCCACAGCGATTTCACCATGGCACGTTGCTTGACTATATGAAGGAACTAAGACACAATACAAACAACTAGGGGAAGAACAAGACTAAAGATGTGAAGTTCCTGTACAAGTCTTGAAGGCAATAGGCCTTTAGCAATTACGACAGAACCAAGATCGCACACGAAGTAGTTCTTGCCACGTACTCACAGAACGTATGAGGTTATAATGCCTAACCTAACCAGGGCTGCCATCGGATTAACCCACTTCACTCTGGGATCACTTTATCTCATCTCTTCACAGCCTGGAAAGCTTGATCACTTGCACTCACAAGCCCAAATAATCAGCGCGCGCGCAGAAGCAGCAAGAGCAAATGCACAAAATGAAGTTAAGAAAACATGGAAGATGTTCTGTTTAGAGAACACGGCGCATTGTCAGTTCTCATGGAAGCTGTCATCTCCGCAACTTGATGAGCATCTGTCAAGACACGTTCTATCCCGCGTCACGATGCAGAAATCATACCAATATGCCGTCTTACTGGGACCGGTCTGATCATGGCCGTGAGCCTTGCCCTGGGTAAGCCCAAGGCTTATTTGATCACTTTCTCTCATTCATTCACAACCTCAACAAACGAAACTCATGCAGCACGCGAAAAACCACCCCAGTTCCAAGTACTTCAACCACCCCCTGCCCCCCGCACCCCCCGCCCAACGTTCCCGCCCATCCCACCCCCTGCAGTTTACAGTGCAATGCAAGAAAAGTCTAAAGGGCTGAGTTCAGTCATGATGTGCTCAGAGCTACTGAGAAGAAAACCAATGATGCTGGACACTGCTCTGCTTCCCAAGCTCCAGGTGGAAAAGTCCGAGCATTGGCAGCTGGAGTTGGATGAGGATTGCCTCAAACTCACATCCACCGGCTGGGCGCCGGGACCCCGGAACAGGCGGCGGCATGAGCATCAGCTGCAGTTTTTGGTGGGCCCCGGTACCCACCCTCCACAGGACGTCTAGAAGGCAGGGAGGGCTTCTGGGGCCAGAGGTTCTCTTGTTCCACAGCCTTGTTCACCCATCACACCTTGAGACCCTGTTCACGCCTGGTCTAGTTTCTGGGACTTTTCATGCGACCACCATTCATGCTTCTATTCTCGCTCGTTCATCCACAGGCTCGTGATAACTTAAAGGATGTGAAGAGAAGCTTAATTTTGCGACCATGGGTCTGGAAAAGCAGACTGCTGGCAACCGAACCTCGAGTCAAAACGCAATCATGCCGCCAACGCTGCTGCGCGGACAGCCTCACGGCTGCAAACACGCACCCAGTCGATCTGTGGTACGAGTTCATGGCCGACATGTGCACATGTGAGGATGACATCGCCTACGAGCAGCCGCGTGCAGCATGGCTGTCGTTCTGCAGCGTTCCCAGGCCTCGAGGCAGAAATGGCATGGAATGCATCCTGACAGAGGCTGTCCGTAAGTAGCCTTCAAAGGGGCGGGGTGAATGGGGTGAGTGGGGTAAACGGCATGTGAGTGGCTCGAATTAGCATCAGGCCTGCCAGCCCCAGTTCCTCAATTCGGCGTGGAGGAGATGTTCGTATTTTCGGAGCCGGAGTGCGCGGCGTGTGATGGCATGCTGCCGAAGCCCTGAGTCGATGAGCGTCGGCACATGGAGGCTCAAGCCAAAATAGTCTTTCTATCCCACCAAGAATCCCCACTCCCCTCGTCCCTGCGTCCCCTAGTGTGTGTGGTTACAATTGGGATACATGTACAGTTGGGCCCTTATGGGCTTATGCAGCCTTTGATGCCATGGACCGCCACTTCTCATTCTTCTTCTTCTCGGCGCAGGCAGCTTTCCTTTTCCCACAGCCACCAGTCCCACTCCTCGTACCAGGGCCCCACATCTTTTTCATGCAGGGCCTGGAGAAATGTTGACTTTCAAGACTTGGGCCGGATGCTAGGCTGATTGTCGCTCTGCAGGTGATCCTTGTAATGCCCAAGCAGCAAGAAGGAATATAGAGCTGCTATGATTGCACTTCACCTAGCATCTCCTTTCAAAAAGAGTTGCGCCGAACAGCGTTGCGCAGACTTGCTTTCGATCTTCATGTGGAGGAACATTGTTTTTGCAAGCGCCGTAAACTACGAGGCGGCTGCTAAAGCGAGATGACTTCTTCTACCCGTGACCTCTCGTCCTTCCCTAGAACGTTTGCAGTGTTCCTTGGCTGGACCTCTTGAGGCGACGGGTTCATGTGAGACTCTGACACAGCTGGTCCATCGTACGACTGGTCTTCTGGCCCGGGTGTTGCCTGTCCTCAGTCAGGCAGTAGGAGCTGATTGCGACACACTACAACAGAAGCAATCAACAAGCAATGATTTCTGAATACCTGCAACCAAAGCGCGACTGCTATCTTCATCACCCCAACACAGAGCAGAATAAAACCAGAAATAACAGGATGATAAGCCGATTCCGCACACGACGAATCCAAACAATCCAGCATCCATCGTGGACCAGTTTTCTCTGGGCAGCAGTTCCCAAAGCAAGGCCGCAAAGCCCAGCATGGCGACACCGATGCAGCCGCGGGCAAGCCGTTTGCAGACTGCCTCTCCTCATTCAGGCGATAAGAATGAGAGCGACGCCCTGCAACAAAAGTGATCAACAAGCAATGATATTTGCCTACCTGCAGCCAAGGCACGAAACCACTCTCGAGAATCGCCGAGAACGGCAAGACAAACTCCACAACAGAAAGCACAGGATAGTCCGGAGAAGGTGACAAGGAAGACTTCCCTCCAGGTAGGGTGCGAAACGGACCAAAGATCGGGCAGTATCCAAAGCAACACCAAAATTATCCAGCCCAAGCCCAGGAAGATGACACCGACGCAGCCCTGGGCGACCTGTTCGCGGACTGCTGCCTCTCCTCAGTTATAGGCTATTGCACACAATGCAACCAAGGCACCTCATTCATGTCAGCAGCCATTAGGGGATGAAAGCGACACGCCACAACACAAGCAAGGGATGATTCTTGAAGATCTGCAGCCAAAGCACGTACCAGGCAGCACTTGTCTCTAAGATCGCCAATACGAACAAGAAGCAATCCGCAGCCGAGAACGCAGGACAGTCCGAACAAGGTGAGAAAGTAGCCTTCCAACTTCGACGAATCATAGCCGTCCAACTTCGACCTATCAAAGTTCCGCCTAGTGAGCAGCACCACGCGGAACACCACAGTGATCCAGCCCAGGCCCAGAACACTAACACCACGGCACCACCACATTGCTTTGTGGGGACTTCCTCATTGGCAGTCGCGGATGAGACGGGCTCACAACAACAGCAGTAATGACTTCTGCAGGCCTGCCGCCAAGGTGCCCAGCAAACAACGACGCCGCAGCAGAACAGAACACGCGCTGGCAACGACGCCGCCGACGATGATGAAAAGTATGTCAAGTTCTCTACCATTGTCAATTAGGAACATCGCCATGTACGCAACAACCGTCAAAGGTACCCATGCCAGCAGACAGCGCGGACCATAAGCAATGATGACCCAAGGGTCTGGACACTGGTCTAGACACCCGCAAGTGCAATCGCAGCCACTATCACTCAGGACGTGGCCGCCTGTCGGTTGTCTGTCCGACTCTTCTCTTTCTACTTCTCTTTCTGCTTCTCTCGCTGCTTCTCTTTGGCGGTGGAATCTTTCCTGCTGTTCCCACACGTACCAATCCCACTCCTCTGTCCCCATCAGCGGCATCGTATTGAAGCGAGGCGGCACGCTAGGGAAAGGTGTTGACTTTCAAGACTTGGGCCGTCGCTCTGCAGGTGATCCTTGCAATGCCCAAGCCGCACGTAGGAATATAGTGCTGCCATGATTGCACTTCACCTAGCATCTCCTTTCAAAAAAACTCTTGCACCTGCGAGGCGGCTGCTGAACCGAGATGACTCCTCCTACCCGTGACCTCTCGTCCTACCCTAGAACTGAACGTTTGCAGCGTTCCTTGGCTGGACCTCTTGAGGCGACGGATTCATGCGAGCTCTGACACAGCTGGTCCATCGTACGACTGGTCTTCTTGCGCGGGCTTTGCCTGTCCTCATTGAAGCAGTCGGAGATGAAAGTGACCCACTACAACAGAAGCAATCAACAAGCAATGATTTCTGAATACCTGCAACCAAAGCGCGACTGCTATCTTCATCACCCAAACCCCAAACGGAGAGCAGCACCAAACAAGACACAGAAATGACAGGATGATGATGATAAGCCGATTGCGCACACGACGAGTCCCGCCAATATGACTTCCCTCTGGGACCAGTTCTCTTTGGGCAGTCCCCAAAGCACGCCGCAAAGCCCAGCACGGCGACACCAATGCAGCCGTGGGCAAGCGGTTTGCAGACTGCCTCTCCTCATTCAGGCGATAAGAAATGAGAGCGAATCACTGCAACAGAAGCGATCGACAAGCAATGATATTTGCATACGTGCAGCCAAGGCACTAAACGGGCCTCACGAATGTCAATGGTCAAAAGGAGTGACACACCACAACAAATGCAAGCGATGATTCTTGCACTCCTCCTTCTCCAAGGCGCAAAATAGGCAGAACTTGTCTCGAGAATCGCCGATAACCAACGGCAAGACAAACTCCACAACAGAAAGCACAGGACAGTCCGAAGAAGGTGACAAGGAAGACTTCACAGTCAGATCAGCAGCACGAGTCCCTCCTACCGGAACAAAGGCCCTGACTGCCCTGTTGTCAGTCCCGTTACCTCAGGGTCGAAGGCCTTCAAAAAACATCGGCCTACAAGCACTCTGTGAGCATGGCACTGGGCCAAAATCCTGTTCAAGAGCTTGAAACAACCTGCCCACAAGCACTCTGTGAGCACGGCACCGAGCTGTGGTCGCGAAAACCTGTTTAAGACCTGGGCGTGAGACTTTAAGGCCCGTGCACTCTACGGTATGCCAAGAGGCCTGTTTGCACTGCCCTTGTAGAAGGCACGACGTGGACCACAAAAGGCATGAAAACCAAGCAAGTCAAGCAAAAATCGAGAAGGAACATCAAGCAAGCCAAAGCTAAAACTCAAGCAACCTTATGCAAAACCGCGCCTGTGCAAAAAGCGCGCCCATGCCCTTATACAAAAACGCTACCAGGCCACAAAGGAGTCTCGGCCGAAACAACCTGTCATTTTGTCATATTCGTCATTCTTGTCATACGCACACCCTGTGCACACAAGCGCTTCACACACAAATTGCCTTGTCATTTCTGTCATTTCCGTGATTTTTGTTATGCGCACACCCTGTGCAGAGCGCGTCAACACCTTGACACTCACACGAGCGCACCCCACCAAAGAAAATTCTAAAATAAATTGCCTTGTCACTTTCTTGGTGAAGGTCCTGCCCGACAAGCGAGGCGAAACCATGACTCTCGCGGCAGAGATCATCCCGAAGCTAGTGGAGGGGGAAACTAAATATGTCCACGGATCAAGGCGGAGAATTTAATGGCCTGGAGCTTCTTGAAGCAGCAATGCACCCGACAGACGGCCCGAGAACCGCAATGCCACGGCCGTCATTGATCGAGCAATTCAAAGGGCGGGCAGGGCGGCCGGAATGGAGAAGGCTGGAGGGACTACGTGGAGCAGGTGACGAGCGCATACAACAAGCGGCCGCACAAAGCGGTAGCTGGCCACCACCTTCCGGGTCCACCAGAACAATGCGCAGAAGTTCAAGCACAACAACGCCTGACCAGAAGCCGGCAGCGACGGCTGCAGGAGGCGGAGGCTTTCCGAGCCCCAAAGCGATGGGGTTGTCAGTTTTGTCAGGTTTGTCAGTCGGCTCCTCAGGGTCTTGTGACTGCTGGAGAGACCTGGCGGCGCACAAGGCCATCGGCACGCCGTTTGCCTACCACAAGTTTAAAGACGGGATCAAGGTTGACTTCGTGGGTTATCATATCGCATATGAGTCTGCAGGGCTCTTATCCAAACGCACAAATGGAAGTTGGCTGGATCAACATCTTGAGGCTGCAAGTGGATGGTCCCACGATGGTTTATCTCTCGCTTATCCACATCCGGAAGCATCTTTTGCTGACACACCACTTGGTGCCCGCGTTGCGACAGGTCCTCTTTGTGACCCAGTCGTTTCGAACTGATGCAAAGTGTGAGCGTGGACGTGTTGTATTAGGTGGTTGATCTCTTGCCAAATGTGCCGACCAAAGCAGATTGGTTTTCTGTTGAAGTCACACCGACAATGGCGCCTTGGTTGTTTAGAAGGATGGAGCAAGTGAGTGGACATCAGCCAGCGGAGTTGCTGGCGACTTATATGGCCTTATTTGCGTTTGGTCACCTTCAGGCTGCTGGATGTCGCAGTGTTATGTTGCAACGATCCATGGTGGAACTGACAATTGGTCAAACCCTTAGGCCAAAGCAAAAGGGTCATCTACAAAGTGGCCGCTCATGGGGCTGCTGATGCAAATATCTAAGACACTCCTTCATTCTAATCTGCGTGTGAGGCTGCAGTGGAGGCACGGGAAGAGAACACGGAGGCCGACGATTTGACAAATGGTGACTTTACAAAATTCGACATGTCGTTGAGGAGGTTGGTTTCCTTTTCTGATCTGAAGCTGGATTTGTTTGAGGAATTGATGGCTTGCTACGATGAGTACGAATCCTCGAAGGTGGCTTTGAAGAGCGTAACCCAACTCGAGAAGGCTTCGAAGAAACAGAAGCTGGCCGAGAAAACTCCCTGGTAATGCGCGCCAAACGCCTTTGGTGGGGCATATGTCCGTTCGGCGCTGCATCCTGTCGCCAACTGGTGGTGGGTTCGGATCTACACCAACCGTGGAAAAAGTGCGCTCTTGCGCTAAAGGTTTAATTCTGGTTTACGCCCCTCTCACTTTCCTTGCACTGGGTAATGTTATTCCAGGTGTTTTGACACACATGAATCATGACTAAGGCTCCCAGCAGGAAAGTGTAGAAGGGCTGTTGCTGTGCTTGCTGTCGTTGAGGGTCGTTCTCCCTCCCCTGGGTTGGGGTTTCGATTCGGGCAGATCTGCAGCCAGCCATGGGCCGTGTGTTCTGCCGACTGCTTAACCTGGTGCTATGTTGGTGGCTCTTTGGTTCCACAAACGCTGGTCGTGACGATAACGAGACGAGGCCTGGTATCTTTACACCACCAACCAGCAAAGCGCCACCAGCACAGGCCAGGGCACAGTACGAGGCTGAGTTGGAGCACCTGATTACTCAGGATGCAGATGTCGCTGCCCTCTTTCCTCCTCAAGATATGGTGCAGCCGATGGAGCAGGAGGATGGTCCACCGAACAACCAGCTCCTTGCACTCGAGGGCTCCTCATCGGCTTCGGCGACAATGGCCACCCTGGATGCTCCTGCCCACATGGGAACTGACTCTGCCGCTGCCACTGGGGACGCCTTGGCCGTGTCTATCGCCAGTGAAGATGTGCAAGTGGTAACCCAGGACATGCTGCGTCAGCTTCAAGAAACGGGCACAGTGGAGCAACAGGCTGGATTGGCAGGCCCGCGCCCAGGTCTACTTTCATGTGAAGACACGGGCGAATGGCACTTCCTCAATCTGTATGGTGGTCTGACAGCACTGGTGTATGGAGGCACCACGCCTCCGGAGGTCCCCTCTGCGCGCTCTGACAGTGAACAAGCTACGCTCACTGAAGATCAAGCGGGCGCACCCACCACCCTGACCGAATTGCAGGAGACGGTCCCCAAGCGAAGACGTCTGCCACGCCCATTGCACCTACGACCCGGAGGCAGGATCCTTGCTCCACACAGCCAGACATACCATATAAACCAGCGGCTGATCAATCGGTGGCAGGACACCCACCGGCACAACCTGCAGCACACCGGGCAGCTGCAGAATAGGTGGACTCCTCAGCCCAACCCCGTTAGCCGTAATAACCCCGTCACTTCATATGTGCAGGTCCAACAGGAACATCGTGGGCGTTTGCGGCCACCGCACCCCAGGCGGATCTTGAAACAGTGCTGCTCCCTGACGTGTAGTAGACGACCAGAGCAAAGGCAGGCATTGTACCTTCATCTGAACCTGTGCCAGGGTATGCGGACACCGCACCACAGGCAGGAAACCAGCGCTATGCTTTCGCTTTCACCCGCATTTAATCATGATCGCTGTTGCCGTGGCTGCCTTGATCAGGCTGGCTATCTGTGGGATGTGCGGACACCGCTCCCTTGCAGGACCACGCACAGGCTTGCAATGCAAGTTCCACACACTAGGAGCACGACTGCCCTGCAGGATTGTACAACACTGTGGACGCTGGCTGAAGCCTCGAACTTACGGTATTGCTGGCAAAAAGACAGGATACTTTGCCCTAAGCATCGCCACAGCTGTCCCTTTCTCTGTCACTTTTCATCCGACTGTGCAGCTCTCGATGTGGACCACCGTGCTTCGCCGCCGGAACTAAGTTGGCTCGGGGTTTTGGATAGGCTGGATTCTCTGCTCGCACTCGCACACCGTGATCCTCGCCTGAACCTTAGATGTAATCCTCGGCCTTCTCCCTTCCCACATCACGGCCTCTCACGCCCACCTCAGGCAGATATGATGGCACAGATATTTCAAGGCTGGAGAGAGCTCACCTGCCTTCGACAATGGGTACGTTTCTGCTTTCTAGCCTGGGCATCACTGCGAGCCTCAGCCGACTCGCATGGACACACGATGCAAGTCGAAAGTGACACCACAGTGCCTGCACCTGAGTCTCGAATCCGAATCACGCTCGTTTTGTGTGCCTCCCCTGCTGGACTCACAGATCCTCCACAACAAGTTCCAGCTCTTGAGACTCTGACACAGGGTTCTGGTATCAATACTACACCGCCCAGTCACATGGTGAGTCGGAATGTGAGAGCTCGACGTCTGCAGGACAATCACACTGCGAACCCCAATGTGGTCACCACTTCATTGAGCACATGGCAAGAACAAGTTGCCAGAGAAATTGATGAAGCAGTTGTTGCCATGAGCCCTCCTGAGCAGGTAAGTGTTCTGGCACAATTGCATGCCATCTTGCGGACTGATCGGACCGATCCACCCACGGGGTCACACAGCCCCGCTCTCAGTAATGTATGTCGATGTCCGTCTACTCCCTCTGCAATGACATGCAGGCCAAATGGACGCTTTGTGCCCGTGATACCTGGCCGACCACTCTCGACACCTTCATGTCCTGGCTCCTCACATACGGAGGGTTCTGATGGTATGTCACCGGATGTGCTGTATCCCAGTGAAATCAGCATGTATGAGTGTTTGCAGGGACTGATTGCAACAATTCCGTATCAGATGGAGCGATGTGTGAAGCCCCTGATTCTGCTGGCAGGGAAAATGCAACGGTACCTTGGGACATATCCACTCAGGTTGTCATGCATGTGCCGTGCTTTCAATCCTTGGCCGTTGCAAGTGTTGGCTCCTTGTCGGACGTCAGCGACAATCCATTGCCTTAGCCCCTGGTGGGGCACTTTGCAATACTGGTGTGCGGATCACTCCATGCATTGCCCTCAAATGTCCCTCGTACCGGAGGCGATTACATGGCCTGATAAACATGTGCTACATCCAGAGCTGTGCCAAGCTGAAACAGGCAGGAGTGACTGTTCATGTCGGACTGCCTGCCCGCTCAAGTGTCTAGCCATTCCTGCCGACAACTGTGGCACTGCCCCAGCGCTCCTGCAACGACTGATCGTGCACTTCGGCTCAATCTTTCAGCATACATGTAGCACCTGGAGCATTTACTGCCCGGAGGTGCGCTGTGCATCATGGCAGAGGACGCTGCAGACGATCTCCCACCAGAGCCTCCCTCACCCAACTCCGATGATACCGAGGCACTTGATGATATCACGGGAGTTCCGCACCCCCGGAGATGGAGGGACATACTGCGAGAAGCTAGTGAGTCTGCCGCTGAAAGCAGCGCGGTACCAGTGCCGATGGATACCAGCCATGGGAGCCCCACTCGGTCGACTGATGCGGAGGAGGAGAGTGGCATCACCGAGCCCTCTAGTTCCTCACGACCACGGCCCAGACGGAGACTGGTTAGGCTTGCGGAAGCAGGCTCTGGCGAAGCAGCAGGGGTGGACACTGTTGATCGATCAAGAAGTCCCGTTCCTGGGGGACCACCACCGCCTACTGTGGATCACACCTGGCGAGGAATCAACCGGCCTCCCTCCATGCTACGACCACGAGCGCCTGCTGGCCATGATGCTCCGAAAAGCCCCGGTGGACCACCAGCGCCACGGCCCCGACTCCTGGGGCACAATTGGACCATGCCGACACCGGCTGGGCCACCTGCACCAGTGCCTGCACCACCTCAAGGACTCTTGGGAAGGACCCCTAACACTGTACTCCTAATCTGCATGTCTAATATCATAGAAATATTGGCCTTTTATTGCATGAATATCTGCTGGACTGTGGTCCTGGACTTCTCCAGGCCCCCAAACACATGGATGCAGGTAGACCAACGAATCAAGCTCCATACCGCAAGCTGGACTCCAGACCCCGAAGCTCACGAACTTTTCCTTCGAACGCAGCAGCTACTTGCTTTTCACTTCTTCTTGTTTTGTATGTTTGCTTTGTCTTTTTGTTTTGTCGCTCATGTCTTTCTTGCTCTTGTTGGCAGGCTTCTCCTCTGCCTCTGTCTTCTTTCGCTTCTTGTATCCCTTGGAGTCGAGATCGAGCGGGCGGAAGAATGTCGGCACCTCCATATGTCCCAGCCTCTACCTCTGCGGTGATCTCCTTCACCGCGGGCTTTAACGATGCTCGGGTTGCTTCTACTGTAGCTTTGCCCGCAGCTGAGGCCTGGTTTTTCAATCCGGATGGCATGCCAAAAAATAGGGGTACACACCAATTAGCCTTGTATTTTGAAGGCTAATTGGTGTGTACCCTTGTTTTCCCGCTTTGGCCCCCCAAGGCGCCAAGCTTGGATTCAGTCATCCACCCCACCTGAAAAGGGGCACGCCAGCTCCACTCCGGCACCACCGTGAGACCACCGTGAGACCACCGTGAGGAAACACGAAACGTGTCTTTAAAGGCAAACGTTAATCGCGTTCACCCCAGATGCCTTTCTCCTTCCGGAACCTGGAATGGCTGCGCCAGCACCATTCACTGTAGAAATTTATCTAAAACAAGAACTAGACAGCAAATGGGTCGATTGGCTGCCGTTTCTGGGAGCATAATATCTGATCAGCATGAGTGACGCTCCTGAGCGCAAGACGTGACTCACAGCGTGAACGTTCACAAGCAGGTGTCAAGTTGCGCATTAGAGCCAACGTGGGCTTGACCTCAAGACTTCCTGTTTAGGGACATTTTAGGGTACCTTGTCAGGGGTTCGCCCCAAGTGCCTTAGACCACCGGGTCCGGCGGGACCACCACCGCCGACTCCATATCGTCCACCCTCTACAAGACCTGCGGCGGTGGATGGGACGAGACCAACCGGCATGGCGAGACCGCCACCAAGAGCCCCGAACCTCACTGTCCGACTACCCTCAGGGCTACTTGTCCAAGCTCTGCCATCGCCACACATGGCCACCGTTCACTCACAGGGGTCATACACGCTCATGCACACCAACGAGGCCATCTGGATCTACCTTCAGCCGAACACCAATGCCGCTGATACCTCTGGAGCATCCGCTGCTTATCCTGAGCGTGCCTCTGCCGATGTACAGCAGAACATGATAGGTTTTGCACCAGCTCGGCCTTCCTCTACGTCTGCACCACGCCTTTACACCGCTCGAGCACCGATGCACACAAGACAAAAGACATTCTTGCAGATACTGTAATAAAGAGCTCTGCTGGCCACACAGAGGGAAGCTGGCGTCTTGATGCCTGTCAGGTTAATTGGCGTTTCCTGTGCTGCATCATGGCTCCTCACTGCATCACTTGGAGGCAATGGCCACGTCCTTGGGCTATCCGGTCATACCTGTCTGGCTGTGATACCAAGCCCTGCCAAGCACACCCCTATGCCATGCGAGGTCACAAACGCTGCAGCAAGCTGCAGTACAGCCCACCTCACACCACGACTACTGCTGTTCCCGGTCCCAAGCCCGGGAGGCGCGAGTCTATGCATCGAGTACTGCGTCATGCCTTGTCCACACGATGCCCCACCATACTCGATATGACATACGATAATTTAATCGCGCAGGAGCCGAGGGTTGGGGGCTCTGCAGACCAGCAACCCCCTGTAGTTCATCACATGACTACAGCTCATGTCCCACAAAAGGGGACAAAGCACAACGGTCAGGCTACACACCTTGGCTTCCTTGACTGGACTGCCGAGGCCGAGGCCACCGGGAATCCCATTCCCATGCTGCACGGTTTTGGAATTCATGCACTCTACCCCCTACATACCTTGATTGACGACCAATCGCTGTTCCCATCACTATCCGGCCCTGTTCTCTCACTCGATGCACTTTTGTGCGGTGACACAATATTAGAGCCGCAGAATAAAGCAGAACTGTGTTTCAGGTCTGCCTTCCTGCAAGGGCAAGCGGTCACCGCTCCCTGCTGGCATGCTCCAAGCTTAGCTTGTCCACTTCTTATGTGTCGCTCGTATCCTCTGAGATGCTTGCAGCAGACCATACCTCTGATTCAAATACATTCAACTGAGTCAGTCCTGTGTTCACTAGGTGTGAATGGCTCCCTCTACTGGCCATGGCTTGCTGCGGAAGGACTTCTGCATTCATTGGATGCACCACAGCTTCGAGCCACGGTACAAGTAAGCTTGATGTGCCCCACATCCGCCATCCTTCTCAACCTCATAATTTCGCTGGCTCAGCTTGAACAGGGACCCCATGGTGGATCGGATCTCCATGAGATATTTGGCACACCTTATCCTGATCATGTGCAGTACTTATCGACCCTAGCTTCCCACGCTCGGCCCAGTGACATGGGTCGCAATGGACCTTCGCCCTCGGCCAAGCTCAAATCTTCCAGGAGGCCGCCGTCAAGGTTTCGCAATCCCTCGCAGGGTGGGGACAACCACGTGGATACGACATCGGTCCCGGCCAAGGCGTCTCCTGCCAACCAGGGTGACCACTGGGCCGACAATGGATGGGGTACGGCCTGGACTTGGGAGTCGAGTGATACGAACTGGAATAGCGACTGGAAGGCTGCACATGCAGCAAATGCT